GACTAATGGCTTTATAATGCCTTCATTTCGCATTAAAACGTCACCGTTGGCTCTCCAACACCTCGACGATGGTTCTCGCGATGTATCCTGCAAGAGATCGTCCAAACCCGGTACAACAATTCTCTTGTCCGCGATAATGTACCATTCTTGCGCGAAATTATACGCGAATACAAACGCACGTAACTTGCGCTAGAAAAAAACGCGAAATGTCTGAATATTTCTCTCGAGGACGAAATCGGAGAGAATCTTCTAATTTGTGAAAGAGATAATTTTATTGAAATCTCTCCGTAATATTTTAAATTCAAACGCAGGAATACAAAATTTATATACAATATTATAATATGTTGTTAAATATCAAAGAGCAATGATAATCCAATTGATTCCTTGAATTAAATAACATTTTAATATTTTAACTTTCATATGTGTCCTACATGTGTAAATCCATTTCTGTGGTTGAATCGTTTAGTTTTCAAGTAAACAAAGTCCATATTAATGTATGCATTTAATAAATAATAACTGTTGTGTCAAGTTTAATGCATTTCTTGATTTAAATTGTTTAAATCAAGATTCCATTATTATTAGTTAAATTAATGTTATTTAAATAGCATTGACGATTTATAGAAGTGATTAAAAATAATTCAAATTGAATATAATTTGACACTATAAAAGCATTTAACAGTATAATGTGATATATAATTTAATATAACATTATATTATATTATAATATACTTTTATTATAACATTTATTAAAATATAATATATAATATAATATAATTAGCACATCAAATAATACCTAAGTCTCAAAATTGAAGAAAATTCAAAAACCGCGTGAGGGATAGCCTAATGATTAAAATGTCTTTATAGACATCTGGCGTCCGTGATAAATTTTTCGTAAATTATATTCCCATCAGGAGTCGCTTTCGTCTTGCAAAATGTGCTCCACTTTAATGAGCAGAGGCAGATTCATGTGCTTTCGTTCTCGGTCTTTTTACCGAAGGCGCGATCGCAATCGGGTGCTTTACGGCGACAGGACGAGAGAGGGGACCTAATCAAGCGACCGGACATCCTCGATGTTTACGACGACGAGACGTTACGCGCCGCTTTTTCCCTTTTTCGTCGTAACGCTCTCACCGTGTCACTCCTCTCGGCGCCGTTGCTAATACCGGATCCCGTCGCCCTTTCGTGCCGAACGCGACGCGTGATTTACGATCGAAAGATGGATCGGTCGGGACCGACCGGTCGCACGTCTATTCATGTCCTAATGCCCGTCCGATATGGCCATAACGATGGAAATGTATTCATTCTGCCCACTTTACGACATGATGATCGCTCGACGAATTAATAAAGCGAATAGCTACGCGAACGATAAATTTAATCCCAGTTTAGTATACTAATTAATTATTTCAATTGTCGACGTGGTGAAAGTTACAGCTTTCATATATATTCGCGATTTAATAAATAGAAGATGAAATAAATATATATTATGATGTTTACTTATTGAAAAGAATAAAAGTGATATAAAATTAGTTGAAATTTGCTAAGAAAATACTCTACATATAATGGCAGATAAAAGTTTCCGGCCAATATATAATTTTATGATAATTTTTGTATGTGTCAATTGGTTTTTTCCGGTTTTTATTATAAGTTAATAAAATTCCGTTATAATTAACTTCAAAACATGATAGTTTTAGTATTAAAATACTTGTATATTAGATTTATATTTGTCCACTGAAAAAAATTCCTAAATTTAAGTAATATTTTCTTGAATAGTATTAACAATAAGTAAACATTTCTTTAATGCAAATAAATATTAATTAAAAAAAAAGAAAGTAATACTTAAATTAAATAATGTATGTTTACATTTAGTAAATATTTATCTGCAATAAGGAACATGTTTACTTAGTATTACTATTCAAGAAAATATTACTTAGATTTAGGAAATTTTTTTCAGTGTAAAAATTCTTCATCTAAACAATTCGATAAAATTTCTCATTACAAAATTTAAAAATGTATGATTAAAAAGAAAGAATTAATTCTTCATTGCGATAAATGAGTGTCACATACGCTGAAAAAAATGTCCAATGCAAGAACGACAACGTGAGAGCGATCTCGTGACCGCGTTGGTAATCAGTCAGTCTCGCTGGCTTGCATTTCCAACAAATGGTGACTCCTTCATCCCCTAATCGCGCGGCCGGCTTAAGGATCGCGTGATGATGCCTTTAAACGGGGCATCCTGTAGCCAGTTAACCATACAGAACCGACAACATTTGCCTAAGCGTGTACACGCCAGCTCGGACAGGATCAACTGCGAATAATAGTTCCTTACCTCGATCACATCAGGCTTACCCACGCCAAGGATGAGAGAGTAGATACTCGAGCGATTTGTCCGTAGGATAATATCTGCGACCCGGCGATAAATAATCTACAAGAGAGAGAGAAGGAAATGTTTTTGTGTTATTTATGAGTTAATTATATGATAACGATGATGTATATACTTCAGTACCTTCCCGCACAGATCATTCAGGATTAAATTCTTACGAACAGAGATGATAAAAATACGATTAAGTCTGTTATCTTTCCAAAGTTCTTAAGTAATTTAAACAAGACAGTTTTAGGAATGAATGGAACGTAACAGAACGAACATAATGGACGATGGCTAAGGGAGAATATTCGGAACGGCGGCTCGGATATATTCGGTACAAGAAGTTTATTAGGGTTTATTTACAAGGGAGCAGCTTGCACAGCAATAGGTGTACGCGTTTCTCACAACACAAGCATTAACAATGTAACGCTCTACACTAACACTAATCGCCGCGGCGATAATAATCCTTTAGGTGCTCGCAAAGAACGCGCGAAGTGTCGCTCTGAGATCCTTAACGATTCCTCAACTTTTCGCTAGGCTCAACTTAAATGTGAATCGAAAATGTCCAAATCATCGGTTCCTTAATCTACATAACACACTTTATCCACGAGACACTCTGAAAGCGTCCTTAGGAAAATGTCCTATGGATGTCTTTAGAATGTCCTTTAGAGATCGGTGCTGTGTGGAAAAACGATTTATCGAAATACTGTAAATCCTTTCAGTCAAAACGTGTCGCGTTCAAGGCGTTCACTTCGCGCTCACTCCACGTCGAAGTATGGAATCGAAACATAAATAACGATAACAATAGCTTGTGATACGAAATATACAGCTTATATTACAAGAGATAGAGGCGTAGTTATCTTATATCGCAAGTATATATATGTATACCTATATACAAGTAGACTTTAGTCGTCGTACAGCTTAGCGTTGCCCTTAAAGATGTATATACGTGTATTATGTACGGCATTGTACGGCATTATGCCGCCTTGGGAACCAGGATGGTTACATATGTACAATCCGTTCGTATTCTTGCGCGTGCGATCCGCTGAAAATCACTATGATCTTTGCAGATCGTTCGCTCGACTTCGAAATGACATGCAACTGTGTTTCTTGTATGCAAAGATACGCAGCAAAGTAACAATTTTGATGAAATATAGAAACGGGAACACACGACAAAAACGTTTTCGCTCGAGAAATCGGATTATCCGATTCGGTGTATCATCGTAGTTTTTTCTTTGACAGTGAGAGTAGTCTAGGCGATCAACCTATAAAACATGCTGCAAAATACACGTCAAGTAATGGAACTTAAACTTCAAGGTATCTTCCGACATCTCTTCTGCAAGAGATTTTTTACGCAACGATATTTTTTTTTATTTTTATTGATTTCAAAGTGTGCGTCTTTAAGTGTATCTTAACTATGGGCGTAACCAGGATACTTTTAGGAAGGCAGCGAAATTAAATTTGAGATTTTTTTTAACCCGGGGGGAGGGGACTGTCAGATTTGTTTTATTTTATACTATATTTAATGAATTACTGATAGATAAATCATAAAATACATATATATTTTATTTATTAATTTACTTTATTTTTTTTTTTAATTGTAAACTGATCCTTCAAATTGGAAAAATTTAAATTTAGAATACTAGCCGTCTTGGATTCTCAGAAAATCTTTTTAGAACTTTCTGTCTTTTTTTCTAAAATTAATTTCTTGTGAATACTCACAAAACATAGTTTGTTTAAGAACCTTAATTACTTCTGTTCTTCTTTAAGAATTGGAGGTACCATGGTCTTCCTTGTCCTTCCTGGCTACGCCCATAATCCCGATTACCAGGATCGCGGTCCTATCGCTTCCGATCGCTGATCAAGGCAAGGATATGTATAGATCGGGCTTCCCTCGGTCCCAGGGTTCAGTTAAGGAGACAACGGAATCGCCGAGTCACGTGAGACGGCTCGAGTCCCCTGTGCTTTGCCACCACGCCAAAGGTCGAGAGTTCAGCCGAGAAAGGCAGTATTCAGACTCTCGGAGAGCGTGCGCTTTACGTTTCTTTCCTCCGGTTCATCTTTGCGGCGCGGCGCGAGAAAAGGACGGAGAGCGACAACTCGCCGTGGCCAACTCGGGAACCTTTGACACTACAATTATCGTCGCTATTCACGCCGGATTCTGCACGTTTCGTCGGTACCCCGGACTCGCGGCAACCTCTTCCGTCGTGTGACACATGACACGCGCGACGAAAATCGATTCCCGTTTTACGTAAACATTCCATATCAATTTATCACGTTACGCATGCATATGAATGTGTGAATGCTTACGTTCATCTTGTATTATTCTAACGGAATGGAGACCGGCTCCTTAATAATTATAAATGACAAAAAACGTAATAATTAATTATATACGATATATTGCACTTTTAATAAGAAAATTCTGTAACTGCTAAAAATTCGGGAACTCTAAAAGAAATGAAATATAAAGATTTATTTTAAGTAAAAATAAAATACTTATTATTTTAAATTAATAATAATTAATAATAATAATAATTATTAATAATATTGTTATATCATTACAAGAGATTATATTATTAATAATAATCATTATTATTAAATCGTACATCAATTTAATTCATAATAAGGTAAGCTTGGGTACTATGATCATGAGCTGTAATTTCTCTAATAATTGCTAAATAAAGCATTTTTGTAGCCATTCTGAAAGCCAACGGCCATCTTTTCTGTATGCCCATTTTATTCGAGTTTACCTTATTACAATTCATGTTTCAATTTATGATTGTGTTTTCAAGACCGACAAATAATCAGCACGCAATTTGCTGAACTGAAAAATCTATGTAAAAATTCATGTAGGAAATATTATTAGGCACCTCCGCTTTATAATCGAATAACACTTATTTCTACCAAACAGATTAACTTTAATCTTGATTTAACTTAATTCGGTGAAATGGACATAAGGCTCCTTTTACACATTTATTTTTCAAATAATGCGATGGAAATCGATCAGCGCGCGCAAAAGTTTCATCAGTTTTTCAGTGAAAGAAGACGAATATTGCAAGATGAATTGATTGTTACATTTCGGTTTTAGTCGAGAAAAGTTGACTTTCATCACATCGAGAAGAATAGATTCCTCCATAAAAAACGCAACGCAATTGTACAATCCAATTGTACGCATTTCCTTTTCTATATGAGAAAAAAACTCATGCAGTCTTAATAACATGTTTGAGACATGAAACTCCTTCTGCTTTTTATTTTTGCATGAGACTCTCTTCTTTCCTTTTCGCCAAATATCAAACATATATCTCACTTTAAGTTCCAAAAGTGTACACTAGTTCAACCACAGGAAATTGATCTATCGAGTCTCTCTAAAAGAAAATCGCGATCATTGTTTTCCTAATGAAACCACGAGGGACTACGAGGGTGAAAGGTCTTGGGCCTCCCTGCTGAGACTATCTGTAGGCGACGGCGTGGCCCTTCTGGACGGCGACGGCGACGGCGCAGCCGGCGTTGAGGACTTGGGGACAGTCGTGTGGTAGGGCGAAAATCGGTTGTGACCCAAGGCAAGAGGCGACGGATAGAGTGGTCGAGGGGCCGCGGGCCCTGTTGTATTCTGCTGGGAACTGGACGCGACCAGCTGCTGTTGATGATGTGCCGCTGCAAAGATAGTAGATCCAATCGAAGAGGCCCACCATAAATGACCTAGTTGCTGTTGCTGTTGATGTTGCTGCTGCTGATGACTGGTGCCCGCGGCTGAAGCACCCGGATAAACCAAAGTGGGATTGACCAACTGAGCGTAAGGATTGGTAGCAGCTACGGCCGCCGCTGCTCTCAGCAGCATCTGAGAACGCGCAGCCCACAACGCTTTCTCCTCAAGACTGAGATTGTTCACGGCGCCTGCCTGGAGTTGCTCCATTTCGAAGGGAAGCCGATGCGGAAACCTCAACGTTTGCTGTTCTGCCAGCATTGATTCCATCGTCTCCCTAAAAGGGAAGCTGCTCCATTATGCATACCGTCTTCTAACCGCGAAATTCTTCGAAAGGATATTGAGTCAGACTTTTGTCAGCCATGACAAGTAAAATTCATTAATGAATTGTCCATTTCGTTTCCCAATTTTCGTTTAATTTATCTTCTCTGTCATAGACTTCGACGTTATTATGATTAATGATCTCCTTTAAAGCTGATAGCTATACTTATGATTTTACACGCTAGCGAATAACTTTTACTGTATTATTAAAAAAGAAAGAAAGAAAGTGATAAATCTTTTTCCTACTCAATACAGAATTGAAGCGAAGTTTCAACATTGATTTATGTAGTTCCAAATTCTTTTATCATAGACGATTTTATCGAACTCGGCGCCGTTTAACATCAGTTAGCAAGGAGCTTACCTTTCGAAGTCCGTGAGACGAGAAGAATCCCGAAAGCCCTTGGCGAACGGATTACTGTCGATCTTGAGCTTTGTGATCTGTAACAGGCGGAAAAATGGCCGTCGGTTAGTACATGGCGGACAGGAGATTGGCGATCGGAGAGATCCGGTCGCCCCCGGACTCGCATTAGCATCGGCGATCTCTCGCAAATTCCCCGATCTTATTACCCGGCGCGCGACAGCTCGGCTTCGCTTCGGAAAATTACGTCACCGGACAGCCAACGGCGCGTGGCGGAAAACGGCCGGCTGTTTCGAAACGGTTCGTTCCATCGATCGGGAGTCAACGGCTCGTAAAATTAGAAGAAGGCGGCGAAGCGACCTATCTATACAGGGGAGGAGAGAGAGAAGGAAGCTGGGGAATCAGAGGGATCGGAGAAGAGATAGGAGAACGTCGTTGATACACGTGAATCCTCGCGGGCGTTACGGGAGTGAACCGGAAATGCACTGGTTTCCAGATTTTTCTGGCAAATAGTAGAGCTGCTAGCTGATTCATCATTCAAACTGAAAGATCAGATATTACTTTTAATCGGAATGAAATAAGCGACCGTGATATTATTCAAATGCCACACGACAGTTAACCCTTCGATGTAGTACTTTTGTAGCACAACAAAACGAACAATTCTTCATTTATTGAAAGACATTGTTTCGAGAATGACATGAGAAGAATTATGGAACGTAACGAATTTACTAAAAATAAAAATTTTGCAATTTTGTGTAAATATTATTGTAAATAGTATTGTGTAAATAGTATTGAGTACAGAAGTGTTACAGTATACTATATTAATTGACAAAACGTCGATTTCATATAAAATTTCATTTTGTTAGCATCAAAAAAAGTAAAGCCTGTAGCTAAAGACAGCAACAAAAAATAACGTAAAAGTGTTACGTATAGGAGTAAATATAAAAGCGTTAGAGTTAGTTTACAATGATATTAAACATTAAACTCAATACATATTTCTGATATGCTGGATGTTTCATTTTAATTAATGTATTTCTCGAGAATGAGACGTGAGATTGAAAAAAGTTTCAGACAAAAGTTATGTAACTTCGAGGGAGACATAAGAGTGGTACCATTGATTTGATCTTATCAAGATCAGAATCACTTTGATTTCTTTTTAAATGGAACTCTCCATTTTTCATTCCATATTCTATATGCATATTTTAACAAGATAAATTGCTTAAATTGTACACAAAAGAATTCATTATTAGAAGAAACCTGACGATGAACTGTTCATTAATTTTCTTATGTGATAGCTTTGACCTTCTTTACAGGTATATCCAAAAAATAAATAATGTTCGTTGTCGGTAAACAGTTGTAGAAAATGATCTCCTTTCATTTTAACCATTTTCTTTATAATGGATCTTTCTGTTTTCATTCTAATATTTTCTGGTACGTTACCAAGCAAAGCTACCTCTCACTGCGAAGGCAAAGAATGCTTTGTTCACACTCGGCACTTAAAAAACCGTCGACTAACACGGTGGTCGACAGGAAGAAATCTGAGAAAGTTTGTCTACGTGTTGGTCTACATATCGTCACGTTTGTAGTAGCCTCTTAAGTGGTTGGACTGCATTTCCTCTCTCGCTCGTGTGCGCCACCCCTACGAAAATCTACCCTAAGTCAGATCTACACCCTAGTTTAGCGTTTCGCATTACCTAAAGGCCCACCCACGACGGATGGGACGAATACACAGGTGGCCCCGTTTCCGAGGTCTCCCGACATCGACTATTTAAACGGTGCCTTTCGCTTAGTATCCTCCCTTTTCGGCGAAATCTTTGAGGACAGATTTCATTGCCTGATTCCCAAGGGATAATACCTGCGTTCCGACGATTGCAAAGTTTTCAAACATAAAAAGATGTGTTGAACCGACAAAATTTTCCGCGTGTTTAAGCGCGAAACGTATCAGCTTACATCGCAAGGCGCACGTGACCAGATATGTACTTCAAAGAATAACAATAAGATAATTCATTTTACAAAAGACCGTAAAATCTCTTAATATTTTATCTAATACAACATTTGCATGTATTCTCTTATTATAATACCTGTATCAGCATTAATATAATTAATAATATTAATTAATAATGATAATTAATTATCAATTAATTTAAATTTATATATAATAATTTATCATTTTTTTATAAAAATGTATTCGTTATTATTAGCTATATTCATTACTATTCGCTCTATTAAATTAATATTTATATAGCTTTGATTCTTCGAAACTTGAAGTATCGAAGATTTTAATGTCATAGCTTTTCAAAACTTCGAAATTCAAATGTCAAAGAGAAATTAATCATCAATTCTAATAAAAAGGCAAATATATTT